ACTGGATGGTTGTGCCAGTTAAAAACAACACACTCTCATCTAGTGCCTGTGTTTGGTTTGTCCCTTCTGGGCTACTGTAGAAACATGGTGGTTTAACATGGCAGACTTTAAAGAAAACGACCCACAGCATCTGTAGATTATAAAAGGGCTTATTCTAAAGTAACAAAAACACAAAAATACCGATTTTCACGAGATTATACACAGACAAAAACACACCTATGAATATTATATTCCATTTCTGCTAATATGTCCTCTTAAACATTACACATTGGGCCTTTAAAGGAACGGATTGACATTTTGGGAAATACACTCAAGGAGATTGATTGCTCTCTCGTGTCTCTACAGTAAATATGAAGCTAGGACAAGCTGCTTATTAGCTTAGCTTAGCACAAAGACTGGAAACATGGGGGAAACAGATGTTGTGTTAATTAGAAAGCTTCAGAAGTGCTGATCATGTTCAGGTCAGCTTAGCATAAAGACGGACCAAAGGTAAAACATCTATTTTTGTTAGATTGAATTGATTACAGCTTCCTATTTAGCCAATTATACAGATATGAGAGTAATATCAATAGCTCTAATAATAAATCATTAAATCTGAATAATGTTATAATAATTAAGTCTCAAAATGTGTTGTAGATTTACTGTCTGTCAGTAAACCAACCAATTAATATTGTCAGTGACAAAATAAAAGGCCACAGTGTAATAAGTCAACAATTAATTTTTATTTTATCGAGTTTATACGATTTTGGTTCTGTAGCAACCCACTGTATAATTCTAATGAAGTGCAATTGTACTCAAGCCAGTTACAGTTGAGAGCAATGACAGGCACACGTTTTGTGCAAATTTAACAGCATTGGAACGGCTCCTACATATACACAGCAAAAATACATGCCAGAGGAAAACAATACTAAATCAGTTTACATTGACAATAGTTAGGAAGACTTCCATGTCTATCCAAGCTAACACTTCAGAGATACACATTTCACCCATTGATGGATTATGGGAGAGAAAAACTGAGTTAGCATTCAGTCTTTACGCACAGCGAGAAATGTGTGGTGTTATCCAACTCCATGGACTAAAAGCCCTCCAATCTGCCCTCCCAAAGAACACATTTCATCAGAATTGTGCATTGCCATTTAAAAAACTAATTATACTGACATGACAAAATGAAAACCCCAAATCAGTGGGCCAGACAAGAGATACACCTGCTTGCAGTTGCTTTAAGAAGTCCCAACTCCAAATGCTTTGTGTTTCCTGCGTGTCTGACTGTACACTGGCAATGCAAAAATAAAGGGTTGGGGGTAATGCAACTTGAAGGTATCACAAGCCACACAAGACGACACAACCATCTGAAACACAGGGGTGTTGGTAGCCTTGGTAGAGTTGACTGCAGGTGTATTTATCTAAGTCACCTTCCTATTCCTAACGCTGATTTATAGCAATTACTGGGACAAGACACACATCGGCTCAGTCAAATATCTACATACTCAAAAGTCAAAGTAAAATAAATGATTTAGCTTCGAGATGAGCTTTTGTTTGTCTGATGACCGTTAAAGAAACTGTGGTTATTATCCTCCAAACATGCAGAAACACAGGATTATAAGACTGAAATCTAAGTAGGTGAGTCGGGAGATTTTGGTAACCAGTCTGCAGTGTTATTACTCAGACATTACAGGCTAAGGTCTGCGTATGTGAGCTTTATTTGCTCTATCATCCCTCACAGTGAAAATTGACAAACTAAACATCCCTGGAAATGCTCGCACTGGCTTGTGTTGGTTCCAAAATGTCAAGTGTGTTGGATGTTGTGACATCTTTTTTTTTTTTTCTGAAAGCGGCTGCTAAAATATCACATCTGTTGGGAATTTTATTTCAAATCCAAATTGAAAACATTTTATACTTGCATCTACAGACAACACAATCCCTTTAAACTAGTAAAATAGCAGTAATAAAGTGAACTCATGCTGTATGTTCTCCTGGAGACCAAAGGAGGCCGTGAAAGTTACTCACTCGACTATTCTGCCCCATTACCTAACTTCTTTTCATGATCGCACGTTAAAATCTTGACAATGAATTGTTAAACTGGTGCACACAGTATGATTTTACCATCTAAACCGACAGATGGAGTCTCATAACAGGGTCTGGCAATGCCACTTGTGAAGGAAAGCAGATGCACCACTACATTCTACAGCTTTCCTTTAGTATACAATCAAGGGCCAAGTTGAAATCTTTTACAACCTAGAATTTAACAGTATCAACAAAAACTACTCCAGTTGCATTCAAATGGCAACTATCGAAAAGTAAACTTACTGTAACATACATATTAAATAGTGTATAGTCCATGCAATTGCGCACGGCCGGTTTTGCATCGTTATGGTATGTCGTTATTAGTGTATGGGAGACATCAGCCACCAGTGCATTTCCGATTGAGGTTCAGGGAGAAAAACTCCTCAACACCCATCAGAAACTCCTCAGCCAGACTTGAAGAGCAAGATGGCCACTTGGCCCAAGTAGAAGTAAATGAAATGCTTTGTCTCGTGGGTAACGTAGCTGCCGAAGTTCCTCCCGACGATGCAGTGCCAGGTGGGGTTGTACTTCTTGTCAAACTCCTGAAAAAGAAGACCATTATTGAACACAAAATCAACATACAGGAAAAAGACCAAGAACGTAGCTGCAATCAAGGATATTTTGGTAACATCTGCAGCTAACTTTTATTTTCATTATTTCAGAAATCAATCTGCCTGTGATTTTCTCAATTTAACTATTCATTATTTCTGGTATGGTAGGAAAATAGTGCAAAATGCCGTCAGTCTAAAACCCAAAGATATTAAGTTTACTATCATCTATGACCAAAAGAAAAAAGCATAAAATCTTCACATTTTAGAGGCTTAACTCAGCAAAGGTTTGATACTTTTGATTGAAAAACGACAGAAATGATTATCAAATTATCAAAAAAGAAATTTCTGTTCATTGACCAACTGATTAATTGACTAATAATTTCAGCTCTAGTCCTTCGGAAGTTAACTACTTTTAGTCCAATGATAACAATAATAATAATATAAAACTTGACTGATTCCAGGAAAAGAAAACCTGCAAAGTAAAAATGTGTATGTCCATTGTTTAATAATGTTCTCTGGTTTAAAGTTTTTAATGATTTTTAAAAACATATTTAACTTTTTCACTGTTTTTTTAATCTGTTCTATTGTTTTTATCATTTCTATTTTTTTGTTTATATTTATGCACATTTGTCTCATATTGTTTACATTTGTAGTGCCTTATTAGCCTTGAATAGCACTAACCCTGTATGAAAGGTGCCAAAAAAAAAAGGTTTTGATTCATCTTTGCTCACAATGTTCGTGCGCACAGTGCGTTAGGAGAGGATGATGAGGAGGATGAGGAGGGAGCTGGGGGGGGGGCTTGTGGACTCATGACCTCAGTAATAAATTTAAAAAATCCTGGCTATGGCCCTGATCATAAGTGCCTCGTCTCCACACTGACCAAAAATAGATCAGAGAATAAAAAAAAGGGCTCTGAATGTGCAGATCATGTGCCAATGATGTAAGCTCCACAGAGCTCCACTTGGATCCATCCATGCAACCCCGTCCTGTCTCACCTTCTTGATGTAGGCTGCGATGTCCTTCTCTATGTTGTACTTCTCCATGGCCTGGGTGGCACAGTCCACCGCGTCCTGCTGCATGTCCTCGGACATGTCCGCGTTCTTGATCACAGCTTTCCTGTCAGTCATGGTTAAGGATGATGATGATGCCTGCTGAGGAAGAAGAAAAAAAAGGAGCACGTTCACCCCCCCAGACACTGTACTGCACTGAAAATGAACACCGCACGTGGTTGCTGGGGATGGTTTAGGCCAGCCGGATCATCGCCAAACATCAATCATACGCAGGAGATTGGTCGCTTTGGCACCGCTTTTTTTTCTCCCGTTTGCACCGATTCACAGTCATAACTTAGGCTCCTGTGTTTGTGTCCATATCCCTAACTACACGATGGCTTGAGCGTTGCATAGATTGGCTGCGAAACTTGATACAGGTGGAGTTAAATTACTTGGCAAAATCACTTTCGGATAAAAGCAGCTTCTGCATCAGGAGAGCAAAAAGTATTCAAAAATGTATCATTAATTATCCGTACGGGCTCAATAACGCCCGCTGTCACCCAAAACACAGCACACATACTGTCTCACCAGTCCAAATGAATTATAAGACATACAGTAAAAGCTCACCATCACAAACTCGAATCAGAAATATGTACAGACATGCAAGTCAAAATCTCTCACATTAGGGAAATCTGCAACTCACCTTTTGTTGAGCCGCCTGAAAAACACTCCTTTCCAAATATGTATGTATGTATTTCACCCAGCCAGTCGGGGGGGGAAGGTTTAGATGATGATGCTGCGGCTAATTGCTTTTTAAAGATTTACACAATAAGCATGTAGGTAGGTTGTCTCTCTGCTGTGCTGCTCCGACAGCTCCCCGCCCCTCTGCTGCATGCTGCACCCTGCCATTGGCTGAGCCGCAGCCTCCCCGTGCGTTGCAAGCGTTTTTCTCCAGCTCCTGTCTGCCGGCATCTTATTTCATCCCACAATGCATCATTCACAGTATCCACCACTGGCTGTGGGCTAAGAGGAAACGAGACCTTGGCCGTAGGTAGGTATCGTTTGGCTGTGTGTGTACAGGCTTTTTCATCAGTCACCGTCACAGCTGAGAGACACTGGAGCTGTGAATACTGAACATATGAAGTGGTGTTTGTGTGTTTTCTATTACATCCACAGCTGCAGCCAAGCTTTTATCGGAAAGAGAGAGCAGGGCCAATTTCCTGCTCCAGTGCTCACTTGGTTTCAGGTTTACAAATAAATGATTGTTAATTTACTCTTAAAAAGATTATTTGTGGTTATAAATTCAGATACAGACCAGTTTATTGCTTCTGAGTACATGAAGAGAAAAGTGCAGTGAAGTAGATTTATGTGTCAAATAACAACAAAAACAAAAGTGTCCTTGTTTGAAAATGTTTTTATTGAAAATGCTAAGAGAAAAAGAAAGATTAAGCAAAATAAAACATACAAACTACTCCCAAATAAAACCCTCTCCCAACCACCCAAATTTTTAATTCCTTCATACCAGGCATCTACGATTCCATCCTTTGATCCAACTTCCTGGTCCTCAGTTTCGTTTTCTTGTAAAATAAAGCCATTACCACTGAAAGACTTTAAATAGGCATGGGGGGGGCCTAATAGAAAAAAAAAAGTTGCTCTGGGACTCCCGTTAATTAGTTCTGAATTCAACTCTCATTTGAATCCTGGAAAACTGATCCCGTTCCGAGCATCCATCCTTGCCTATCCCTTCCCTAATCGATCCACTCATCCAGCTCCAAGGATTGGGATCCACTGAGCCACTCCTCCAATCAAAACCTTGAAATACCAGGAAGAAAATCAGAGGCAGACTGTTAGAATAAAATGTCAAGATTTTTGGGCCTATTTTTTTTTTCCATTTTGAGCACTCATGTCAGATCAAGAAAAAAAAAATGCCACTGAGCACAAAAACTATCACTCCCTGAAGTTAAAACATTTTAACCAATGAGGACATTTAAGTCAAAAGTGGGACGCTTTTGCAACAAAGTAGTGATTCAGGTTTTTTTTTTTTTTTTTTACATTTGACAGCAAAAGATGTTACACTTACATCACAACACTTGATCTAGGACTGCTTATTCTGTCACAAGCCAGAGTAGCAAGTTAAAAATTGTATATATAACAAAGTACAGCACATATGGCTTTGTTAAATATGACATGCATGATATGACAACCTATCAAAATGTTCAATTTATGGAATATGAAGCGTACCATTGCCTCGACCTGATTGCTCCTCAATTAGATGTCCTATCCTGACCATACAAATGAAATGTGCTCCACAATGGTTTTATTCCAAATCACTTTAATCCTTCTCTTCAGATGTCTAAAGGAAGACACAAGGGTAAAATACAGTTAAGCATTGGGCTCCCCGTCCAAACAGCCCACCCCACATATCCAATGAGAAGCTATTTTCTTAAAAAAATAAACAAAAACAAAACTCAATTTTCGATACTTGCAAAAACATTGAGTGCAGGTTATAACAACTCAACGTTTTCGAAGTTCCAACACAGCACAATTCCTATTGTTGCAAAAAATTGAGAGGACAGAAAGAAAGGGGAGAGAGGGAGAAAACAAAAGGACAAAGCCGCTGGAGAGGGAGGGGAAGGGGGGTGTGAAAGAGAGGAGGGGGGAAAGGAGAGGGAGGTACACCTACATACCAAGATCATCCACAAGGACATCGGGACATGAAATGCAAAAATTAAAAATCAATTGCTGACATCTGGAGAAACTCATAAGAGGTAAAAACAGGAGGGTATACATCAAAAGGGCAAAACATTGGTGGTAGAAAGGTTTAGGAACGGGAGCGAGAGCGGCTGTGACGAGGCGAGTAGCGGGGCGATCCTCTGCCACGGCCCCGGGAATTGCTGCGGCTGCGGCTGGCGCTGCGACTGCGGCTCCTGCTCCGGCTGCCACGGCTTCGGGAGCGTGATCTTCCGTAACTTGGGCTGCGGGGACCGTCTAATTTCACACGAATGTAAGCAGTCTCTCCCTGGCAGACACAAGAGAACTTGACATTGAAAAGACAACATCCCTTCCTATGGTGGAAATACCATAGATGGAAATGAGGGCCAGGTGTGCTTCAAACATTTCCTGAAGTACTCACCTCGACACAGCAAAGAAACATTATCCATGACAATCAAATCAGTACACATACCTCATGTGAGCGGAATTTGGTGTTGTCCAGCTTTCGAACAGCATAGGTCATGTCTTCTTTGCGCACAAATTCTACAACTCCGGTTCCATCTCTGAAAACGTCGGCGTAGCAGACGTCGCCTGCTTCACGCATGTGGTCCTTCAGGTCCTGCCAGCTGCCACTCTGAGGGAGACCTGAAACATGTAAACAAAAGTTATGTCAACTTTCCAGCTTGGCTTGTTCATGCGAGGAAAAAAATAAATAAATAAAAATCAACCTTTGTTGGAAGTACGCAACTAATTTGTTTATTCAAATAGCAGCCACAGGATTAAGCAATATGTTTCCACTCATTTATTACAGAGGCCATGTAGTTAGACCTGTTAAAGTGCAAAGTCGTGAAAACCGGTTCGGCTTGACTGATTAATATTTATCTTGTGCACACTTAATTATTATAATTATTTAGTATGAATTGTAGCAAACTACCATGAGTTACACTGCGGCATTATTTACTGGTAATGTGTACTGTGCTATTTGGTGCATATTTATAATGTCGTACTTATACATTTAGGCTAAGAAGTGTAATTTAATTCTATTTAAGGGTCCCTTCTAAACATTTGGCCAGGGAATAATCCCTTCCCCTGTTTAGCAAGAAATAAATAAATTCATATCATCAACACTGCAATTATCAATTGAGTCTTACAGACACAGCAGAGTGTAAGAAAACACTGGTCTACATTGTCAGCAGTGATGCATATTTCGTTAAAACAAACAACAGAACATCAATTTACTTTCTTTACATCATGTTTTATCCTTCTGGTTATATCCCATAACTTTACGCTTTATCAGTGCCTTCCAGTAACTTCCACCCAAATCCAGTTTCAACACTACATACACCAAATTAAGGATGGATATTCTTCCCTGACTTTCTTTCTCTCACTTTCAGGATTATTTGCCTCATAATGTAGTGGACGACACTAGCAGTCCCCCAGCTGTTATTCATAATGTACATTTGCGAGCATGACCCATATTCATAGTATGTTACTGCCTTTAATGTAGCGCACAAGAAACTGGAGGGAAACCTCTAGCAAAGTTTGTTGTGAACTAACTCGCCAAGTTACACTCGAAAAAGATGAGACTCAGCAAAACAGTCCTTCAAACAGCAGTCAAAAGGATATGCTTCTGCAACAACGACAACAACAACCACCACCTCCTATCTGTTTAACAGGCAAATAAACGACAGCCTAGTTTGCATGCTTACCCGACACAATGACCCTGTACTCTGAGCGTCTGGATGGGGGCCCGTATCTGCCTCTGGGAGCTCCGCCGATGCCACCAAACCCGCCTCTTGAGCCCCTGCCGCTCCGAGGAAACTCCACACGCAGTCTGTAGCCATCATAGTCATAACCATCACGTCCATAGACTGCATCATCAGCGTCCCTGTTAACAAAATAGTATACTTTAAAGTTAGGATTGCACGATATGGTAACAAAACACTTATTTTGACAGACAGTGAAAACCCACACCAATCATGAATCACATCACACTATATTTGATTCGATTCAACTTTATTGTCATTGTAAGTACAGGTACAAACAACGAAACGCAGTTAGCATCAACCAGAAGTGCAATTTACAAATGTACAGAAATATGTAAAGAAAAAGTAATAACAACATTATAGATATATGAATGAATATGCTGGCAAGATATTAACATCATGAACAGACGATTCATATATGTTATTCATGATAGGTGTGGGTTTTCACTGACAAAACTATTAAAATCATGATAATATGAAATTTAGTTGGGGTCCATAGTGAACAAACATGTTTTCTTAAATCTGGAGAACAAGATTTGTAGGTCAAGGCATCGCTTCAGAAACATATTAGGGCTGAACAATTAATCCAAACATTATGAAAAACCCAATACAGCAATGTCACAAAAGCTGCAATGTTTTGCTAAAGCTGAAAATGCATTTAAATGAAGTACTGTGGTGTTGTAGAGACATGCCCTGACCTACACATCTTATCCTCTAGATTTAAAAAAAAAACAACTATGTTTGCTTGATACAGACAGGAGACAAAATATTATCATGATCTGAAAGCTTTATCAGTGGAAATAAAAATTTGTGATGCAAAAGTTATCCTCCCCTCTCTAATTGTGAATCATATCACAAATGCCACATCTGTCAATAATCCCAATAATACATTTTTAACCATACTGTGCAGCCCTAAACCACAGTACTTCGTTTTAATGCCATTTTGACACACATTTCACCTTCACGCAGCTTCTTTTATATGCATATTTTGCTTTCGATTAATTGCGCAGCCCTACTTCAAACATCAAGCAGCAAGGTCTAACATTCACATGCAGAGCAAACACAGCCACGGACACGGTCAGCCATGTTAGCGGATAGCTTGATCTGGTTTACGTTTGCTAATCCGCCTTGCAGACGTGCACGCAACTACAGAAATGTGGCTTCAATTTGTTTTATATTTATGTATATTTAAAAAAAAAGAGAGAGATAGTTGAGTCGCTGCAAAGAAAACACACTACACAACCAAGCGTAACGCTGTGAGTGCACTAGGCTAACTTATTTACAAGCCAGACACAGAGCAAGAAAAAGGAGGAGGGGGGGTTTGTTCGTGTGAACTACAACATGCAGAAAGACGCGGTGCAAAACATCAACAACAAAAGCGTCGTTTTTAAACGTGCATACGTGTAGTTTTAAACTCCACTGCGAACAGGGGTTTAGACATGCTAAAATCGAAACCGAAAGGGCACGTATCACGTTTTGGTTAACGATAACAACGCCCGGGAGCTCCAGTGGATAGTCTGAGCCCGCAAGTGATGTGTAAAGCACGCCGAGTCGGTGAGCCACACAATGGGCCTGCCTCTGGCCTAAACGAGCTAGCCGTTAGCTTAGCTCCTCCTCACCTGGGGTCCTCGAATTCAATAAAGGCAAAAGGCGGGCCCCCTCTCCGGTTCTTCAGGTCGATATCCCGGATTGTCCCGTACTTGTAGAACACGTCCTCCACGTCTTTTGTACGGATATCAGGAGGAAGGTTCCCCACGTAGATTCGGCAGTCGTTGTTCCCGGCGGGGCCTCGCACAACACCCGACATCGCTGCTAGCAGAGCGCTCGCTTCTTCTTCTTTTATAAAAAAAAAAAAAAAAAAAAAAAAAAAAAACTAACGGTTCGTCGTTTGCAAGATCCCCAACGGTCGGCGGAGCCACACCGAGATCACACTCCCGAGTGGGTGAGCGGGGAAAGAAAAAGACAATAAAACACGTTTACGCCGCAGTGTGCGGGATATTTTTTACTGGGTAAGACAATACTCTCAACGAGGCGCCCTCTACTCCTGTTTTTCTTCAGGAACCGCGCTCCTTTACCGAGGCATTCATGAATACCGGAAACACTGCAGCCAGGATTGACACATCCGCCTTACAAAATAGTCCGCCAATTCAGCAGGTGTAGTGATAATAATAACTTCTTAAATATTAACCTTTAATAACCTGTGACTGATTTTTCTTAGTTTATTGGTTTATTCACATTATAAATAATAATAATAATAATAATAATTAAGGGACAGTGCACGTTAATAAGGCAGTTTTCACCCCATTAGTTACCCTATAACTAACGCTTGTTATATGTTAATGTGACATAAACTCATGATTTATGTTGTTGTAAAAAAATGGTCAGCAAAGTTGTATCTCTCAAGAAAACTACAGCTTTGTTCAGGCCCAAAAAATCCGGCCCAACCCGAGCCCGAACAACCAGAAGCAGTTTTAGGCCTGAAACCCGGATTTCTGCTTAAAATAAAAACATAAATAAATAATTTAGATAGTTTATTAGAAACTCGAGGACACTTAAATAACTTGAGTTATTAATAAAGCATTTAATGTATATATTTAAATCTAATGTTATCCAAGCCCTGACCTACGGGCAGAGAACTGGTTCGGCTACAACATCCCAGGTAAAGCCGAGGAGAATAAACACCTGTACTGTGTCATCAACATGATATGAGTGCAGGTACAAAATAGAGATGTTGCACCTAAAAATGTAGAGCTGTTATGAATATGTGGCTTACATACAAAATGTAATTACATATTTTGACTTGAGTGGTGAAATAGAGACTAATCATTATACAGTCTATTGCTCTGTGAGTAAATGTGATCATTCAGCAAGTTTTCAAAAGGGGTAAGAATGAAATCCATTTAAAATAACAACATTTCATCCTCCTCAAATACTGTATCCTTTATTGAAACTCATAATAACCTTAATTACAGGTTATAAGATCAGAGACTGACTCCTCCTGGGTCACAACAGAAATAATGCAAATACATAATATTAGGCCTATTTGCAAAGTGTTAAACTAATACAGCAGCCTAAACTATTTCATAACATCAGTTTATTTTAATAGACAGTTATTATTATTATTATTATTATTATTATTATTATGTATATACACCTTCATCGCAATAGGTGTCCCAGGTATCCTGTATATATTCATTCTTATTGTTCCCAATCCAGCTCCAACAACAGACTTAAAAACTCTTTCATCCCCCTGGCCATCAGACTGTAGGCAGGGAAGACAATAGACAATTTCCTCCTCCATCTGCACTACCTCTGCTAAATGCTGTGACTTTCATTCATTGGTCGACAGCCTAATTTTAATTGCACATAGTTTACATTAACCTATAAACACTTAACTTACCTGCACATGTTTCATTTCTATTTTTCCAGTTTATTTTCTCTCTCGGCACATATTTTCATTCCTCTGCAAAAGTTTAATTTATCCAATTTAATGTATGGCTACTGTGCTATAGGTTAATTTTAATTTTAATATATGTTTAATGTATGAATGAATGTTTAATGTATGTCTAATTTATGTTTGTATGCTGCTACTGGATGCTTGAATTTCCCTCGGGATAAATAAAGTATCTATCTATCTATCTATCTATCTATCTATCTATATAAACAATATAAGCAAAATATGTCAAAAAATGGATGTTTGACGTTGACGTGTCAATAATATACAGATTAGAGTGAAATTCTTCATAATACCTGAACTTGAAATTTTCAGTAACACTTTATTATAAGGGTACAAATCCTAAACTTAAGAAGTGCTTAACTAATGAGGATTTAATGTAGGATTAATCATGAATTCCTGTTGCTCACCATTAATAAATGATCAAGTCACTATGACCCTTTGTGATTAGTTCACACTTAATAGATCATCAGTTAAGGGTTTGATCAAAAGTTTGTTTCAGGACCTTTTCTCAGGTTATAACATGCAGACGAGTATCATGTTGTATTAGAAACAGTACTATAACACATTGTTTGACCTATATCATGTCAGGACTTCAATTAATATAAAGCAAAATGTCCACACCAGACTTACACTGAACAGTTTTATTGTTTAAATACTTACATGTAACTATTTTTATCAGACTAATAGAGAATATTATTCACGACAACACCCACAAAATCACATTGTGTTATAAGTTACTGCGTGTACTTTCTGCCCAGGTACTGCAGATGCAAATCAGCTTGAAGCTAATTCTGGTGCAACATTTTCTAATTGTGCATCGTCACTAACAAAACTAAACTACCCACACTCAGACGCAGAGAAGCTTTGCACAACTTGAAGATACTTCTGTGTAATAAGTGGGCAATTGTACATCAGACATTCACTACTTTTAATTAACTGTGATGTGATACAAACTAGCAGCACATGGCAAGTTAGTATTTGTGATGCTAAGTGGAAGATGCAGGATTTTAAAGCGTGTGGCACTGTCACAAGAGAGTATTGTACATTCATAACAAAAGTAAAGCAAACATCTTTCAGTGAATACATGCGTTAGAAATACCAAAGGCCATGTTCTGATTGTCCTCATTTGTCAAGGCAAGAAAACACGCTGTCACTTGTTTTCATGTAACATCATCATGAGTGTCAGAATTGTGAAATAACTAATAATAATTATTAACCCTCGTTATGGCGATGGCAGAACGCAATGCTAATTGAAAATGTGGCTTCTCAAACTGCTCAGTATGCATAACAGGAACCGTAGCTGCGATGGCCAACGTCACCATAGTTGTCACCACCAGGGTACTTCCCCTGACACGCCAGGCTGTTCGCCTGCGGACAGAGAAGACGTTAAAAAAAGCTCAAAACAGGAAATAAACACAGGTTAGTGGTAAAGTATCTGCATACCTCTGCTCTCTTAATGAACTGCTCAGTGGCGGCTTTCTCGTTCTCTTTATGTCCTCTCCAAGCTCTGAGCGCAGACGCCTGCAGGGCTCGACCAAAGGAGAACGTCAGGATCCAGGGTTTGGCCAGAGGGCAGTTGTTGATGGCATTGAGGTGGACAGAGGCCTCCTCTTCGCTCTGACCGCCCGAGAGAAAAGCCACTCCTGTGGGGAACAGAACACACCGTTTTACTTTCACTTGTGTTTCCACACACTTTATACATATCTGTGTTAAATCCTCTCCAGACACGGCAGCGGCCTGGGTTACCTGTGACCGCTGGGGGAACAGTGCGGCGCAAAGCGGTGACAGTTGCCATAGCAACCTCCTCAGGGCTGTACTTGGTGGAGCAGCTGTGTCCAGCAGTGACCATGTTGGGTTTGAGGAGAGTTCCTTCCAGGTACACGTGGTGGTCCGACATGGCCTTGTACACAGCAGCCAGGACCTGCAACACACAGATTGTTTCACTATTTTTTCTTCTCTGTCTCACTCTCTTATCGTCGTAGTAACACAACCCTGGCCATGCAGAATCTAAGAAAACAGAAACCCACCTTCTCAGTGATGTACTGGGAGCGTTTCAGGTCATGATCGCCATCGGGCAAAATCTCCGGCTCTATGATGGGCACGATGCCATGCTGGCCGAGAAAGGAGAGATTATCAGCAACAGTACAGAAGCATTACATCATAAAGACGTATTAGACAAGCTACTGCGTTGTATAATAATGGGTTCAGACCTGCTGGCAGATACTGGAGTAGCGTGCAAGAACATTAGCATTTTCTGTGATCGCCAGTCTAGATGGATTGGTGTCACTGATTTTGAGCACACAGCGCCACTTTGCAAAGACGGCTCCATCCTTTTTATACTGCGCACAGCGCTCTGACAGCCCATCTAGACCTATGAGAGAGGTTTAAAATACATCCATTAATTGTCTTGTAACGTTTGGTCTTATTGGAGACATGAGTGATGTCAGCAGTCTCACCCTGTGTGGTGGTCTCTCCAGAAGTCCCTGCCAGGGGGACAACACCCTTGTCAACCTGAGGAATAAGGAATAGAGACAATCATGTTCAACTTTTGTATAGAGAAACAACTAATAATCCCCTTTCTATGATTTATTAGGCTGACGACCCCTGCTGAAGTGACATATTTAATGGATATCACACTTTATATTCAAAACAGTACAATGAACCCAAATAGTGAACTGAGCAACGGCACACCGAGTGATTTGGAGGAATTCTGAGCAGATTATTTCCTGTTTAGGGAACTTTTATACAGTTCAGGCCATTGTTCTATTAGACAATTACCTTTCCTTTACATTTACTTTTTCTTCACAGAAATAACCCAAATGTTGAGATATACACCTACTTTGTAGTCATCAATCAGGAATGCCTCACAAACCCTCCATGAAGCTTTTGCAACCATTAGTGGGGGGTCCTGACCCCCAGGTTAGGAACCACTGACATAGGTTCACGCTACAAGTTAATTTCTGATTTATTGCTCAATATCAGCCCATATCAGATTCCAGTAGGACGAATGTCAATCTAGAGTGAAGTAAGAGTCACACAAATTTTGACTAGTCACACTGAGGGGTTGCACTGCAAAAAATCAGACCTGTATCTGAATTGAGGAGATCAGATTTAATGTGATTTGTGATGTTGACACTGTTATGAAAGAATCACATATGAGCAAAAAACAAATCTGGGCCACTTGTGGTTGCAGTGTGAATGTAGTCACAACCATAGCCTACATGTTTGATCAGGAACTCAACCTATCACCACAAGGGTTGCTACGATTTATTACTCCACATTATTGATATTATCTGGCACTAAACTATCACACCTTGATGCCAACCAGGATGCCCCTGTCCCTGATCATTTTGACAAAGGCTACGCCGTTATCAGAGTGCTGGTACAGCGTCTCATGGAAGAAGATGACCCCTCCGATGCAGTTGTTGATGCGATCGTCTGCACTGAAGAGAATCTGGCGGTACTGTCTGCGGTTCTCCTCTGTGTTCTCCACACCAACCTGAGCCAGTCGCTTAGCCATGCTGCCTGTAATTAATGTGATACATTAGTTAATATATATAGTATGCACTCTTTGGGCTGGTCTTTATCAGTGTGTGGCTGTAAATGGCAAACACGTTTCCCACAGTTTAAAGAAAGGGAAGAGTGCTACACACCCACAGACTCATCTGCAGCCAGGATGCCCTTCCCTGGAGAAACTATGCGTAGAGCGTTTTCATGTAGCTCCCTCTTCTGCGCCTCGGAGAGTGTCGGGGACTGGTGCGTCATCCTGAGTGACTGATTGTCCTACAGCCTCTGGTAGAAGATGTGACCTTATGATTATATCATTCACACATTAACAACCAAATAAAAATATTATCCATGAATTGAGCTTTTTAAATCAGAAAATGTTAAGTTTCATCCATAATGTGTTTCTCCCTCTGTCTGTCTTTTATATCAGCTTCTTTTCCAAACATCACATTTTGTCTCAGTGGGCTTTACAATCTGTATAGCATTCAGCACCCTCTGTCCATAGACTCTTGATTTGGGTAAGGAAAAGCTGAAAATAAAACTTTTAACATGGACCAAATGGAAGAAACCTCAGGGAGAGCCAGAGAGGAGGTATCCCTCTCCTAGGATGGAAAGACATGCACGTTTCTATAGATGTAGTTCTAAAAACACGGAGCCCCGTGAAGTGTCTGCAAGTCAGAAATAAAACTTTGAGTGTGCAATTATTTAATATCAGTAAGAAAAGACTTTAAATTCCTGAACCAAACCACTTATTTCACGTAATTCATCAAATACCACCAAAAAACGAAAGATAATGATCTATTTATCATATGTTAGAGCAGCACATGAAACAAGGCTAAAGAGGTGAGAAACAGACACAAACAGGGGAATAAAAAGTTAAACTCGGAGACAAATGTGAAATTAACTAAATAGTTTCATATGGCGTAAAAGATGATATCAGTTTGGACATGAAATCGTTGTTGGATAAAAAATTTATAAAATATAAAGTCATTTTAAACACCCCTGATTGCAGTTCTCATTACATCAACTAATTGTCATACAGGTGCATCCACTGAAATCAGTGATATAACCCTACATTTATACATTAAAGGAAAGCCAACAAAAAGAGATGAGCAGTAAAAGCTCTTACCTGACAGAAACTGAAATCAAATGTGTCCTGTCCTCTGGTGTGATGAACAGTGACAGAGACTCTCAGTCAGCTCTAGTTTGTATCCAGCTCAAGTGTGTCACACCTCATAAGCCAACACCCCTGGGCGGCGCTTGCACGCCCACCTTTGCCCCATATAAATTAGAAGATTTTTGATGAATCATTGTTCTATTTACATATAGAAGGATTTTTTTTGTCATGCAGCCGCTTGCTTTTCAAGCTGATATGCCCACTTTAGCATTCGCTGTAAAAAAATGTTAAAAAAAACTGTACGGCTGTGGCTGTAATAAGTACGGTAGAACTTTTTCGACTGTTACGGTAAAAAGATATTAGTACTGTTGACTTTACAGTTAAGTTTGGAGCTTTCTTCCATATTTTACCATATCAATAAATTTTTTTACCATCAAAAGAAACAGTTTTCCATATAAATAACATGAAAATATCATGAATTTCCGATAAAATAAAGATTTTGCCATGCAATATGAGGGTGTTTTGCTGTGCGGTTCCTTTGCAATGAATAACTCAATATACTGCTTCTAAACATGCTGTGTTGGTGTAAAATGGATGCCATATCCACAATTATTTTACAACTTTACTGTAGTGTTTTAACTCATAACCACTCCCCATTCAGGCTGATTGTGAAATAATAAATAATGTATTCTGTTAGAACAATCTACCCCTATAGCAACCTAATTTAAGCGTTTAACCGTACCCCATGGCGTGCTATTTTTATTTTAATTAGTAAAAATGTGCCCTGAGGAAAGTTTCAAGTCTCCTGATAATTTGGTCCTCACCCTCGAATTCACTGGGGTGTTTCAGTCTCAGAGCAATTCATGCACTCGGTGGCTTCTTTTCCTGAGCTTTAAACTGTAAAGAACACGATGGAACATGTCAGAAATAGAAATCATTTCCAGGTTCCACTCAATGTAAATGAACATGGTAATACGGCCCAAATTAGACCGAAAATTAGGTCAGCTAAATCTTTTCTCATTTGAAAAGCTTAAAAAAACCCAGAAACTATTAATTCTATATGCAGTATATGAAACAATGTTTGTTTTCAAATACTAACAGAGAAAGGAAATGATGATCCGTGAGCTAAACCTCTTTCCAAATAAGTTGAGATAACTTGAGGGTGTTGAATTATGTTAATTTACATCGCTGCACTTTAAGCTACGTTCAGAAAATGTTTTCTGTTGTGTGTTCTGTTACATAATGTCACTATTTGGTTGGACTCAGTGGGACGACTCGCCGGCATTTCAGGGGACTCCTCTCTTCCCTATTGTGGGTCAGTGTGCCTCTGAAACAAGATATGGGTCACTGGACTGCCTGCCACTATACAGCCACAACACAGACATGGTGGACCTGTCTAAGACAAGGGCCTGAGAGGGAATTCAATGTCAGGAGGCAGTGGGAGGAGGAGCTGGTGCACTCCCATTCAGGAGATACAGATTTAAATAGATACATGACTTCGAGCAGTGCAGCAATTATATGTGGCTTCCTCCGCCGGGACGCTCCGTTTTTTTTCCTCTGTTACCTAATTAAAAACATTTAATGATGATACTTTATCTGGTCCTCAATTTTCTGTCCTATTAAGGTTGTCCTCGATGGGTTTGTGAGTGCTCCTCTAAATAGGTCGACCCAGTTGGCCATAATGTATCCAGGTACAACGTTCATATGATAACTGGTCTAGAATAATACTCATGGTATGTTTTACCAAGCAAATACAACAGTAGGGCTTATTTTACTTAACGCTTTTGTCACCAGTCCTACAGGACCATTTAAAATAGATTTAGATACGTTTAATGTTAATTGTTCTTTGTAAGTACGATTCATGCAGGTTAAGAATGACTGTCTAACCGTGAAGAAAGTGAAGGCCATAATATGTGTTGTTTCTTTTACCTATATCCTTGTTAAATTATACTTTGTGTAACTTTTTCTCTGAGAAAACCTGCAGGAAGTGACAAGTTATTAATCCACTTCAATGTGATCCAACTTTGTCATGAAATCATAGAAATTTCCATTTCTTCTGAGCACTTTAAAGAGTTCTTGTCAATGTCGGCGTAAAAGTTTAGACTGAAAGTTCAGTCTTGGCCTCCAAATGGACTCTTGTGGCGAGGATGATCGTGGGATACAGTTGAAACAGCTTTATAGTTGAACCTGAGGTGAGATTGTTTCGTCAGCTACAACTGTAGTGTTATATCATATACAATTCAATTCAATTCAATTAATTCAATTTTATTTGTATAGCGCCAATTCATAACAGAAGTTATCTCAGGACACTTTTCAAATAGAGCAGGTCTAGACCGAACTCTTTAACATTAATTACAGAGACCCAACAGTACCACCATGAGCAAGCACTTGGCGACAAGGGCAAGGAAAAACTGCCTGTTAAAAGGCAGAAACCTAGGACAGATCCTCCGGCTCTAGGTGGGTGGTCGTCTGTCTCGACCAGTTGGGGAGAGAGAGAGAGAGAGAGAGAGAGAGAGAGAGAGAGAGAGAGAGAGAGAGAGCGACAGACAGACAGACAGGTGCACAGCAACAACAGTATTGGCAATGGCAGTCAAGCAGGACCATGGCAGGAGGCTCCACCAGGATCCATGAGAACCTGCGAGACGAGAAAGCACAAGAACTCCGGGGAAGAAGTGGAGTTAGTAACATGCATTAAAGGGACATGAATGAGTGCAGAAAGAGAGAGGAAGAGAGTAGCTCAGTGCACCATGGGAAATCCCCGATAGTCTAGGCCTATAGCAGCATAACTAAGGGATGGTTCAGGACTCACCTGATCCAGCCCTAACTATAAGCTTTATCAAGAGGAATGTCTTAAGCCTACTCTTGAAAGTGGTGAGGGTGTCTGCCTCCCGAACCACAACTGGAAGCTGGTTCCACAGGAGAGGAGCTTGGTAACTGAAGGCTCTGGCTCCTGTTCTACTTTTAGAGACTATAGGAACCACAAGTAGCCCAGCATTCAGAGAACGTAGTGTTCTAGTGGGGTAATAGGGTACTATGAGCTCTTTAAGATATATATATACACTGATCAGCCATAACATTATGACTACTGACAGGTGAAGTGAATAACACTGATTATCTGACTATCATGGCACCTGTCAGTGGGTGGGATGTATTCGGCAGCAAGTTAACATTTTGTCCACAAAGTTGATGTGTTAGAAGGAGGAAAAATGGGCAGCGTGAGGATTTGAGCGACTTTGACAAGGACCAAATTGGGATGGCTAGACGACTGGGTCAGAGCAGTCTGCAGTGGTCAGTACCTATAAAAAGTTATACTAGGAAGGAAAAGCAGTGAACCAGAGACAGGGTCATGGGCAGCCAAAGCTCATAGATGCACGTGGGGAGTGAAGGCTGGCCTATGTGGTCCGAGCCAACAGACGAGCTACTGTAGCCCAAACTGCTGAAAAAGTTAATGCTGGTTCTGATAGAAAGGTGTCTGAACACACATTGCATCCGTTTGTTGTGGTGGTCATTATTGTTATGGCTGATCGGTGTATTCTACATTTGATTAGTAGAAAATAAATCTTGACTAAAAATCCACTACTAGTTTTTTTTTAGGTGCGACCCCCACGTCTCACTGTCTTCCTCACCTGTCACAGTCAGGGGTGTGTCCAGGGGGTGGTAGAAAACACTGGAACCTGATTGGCCACCTTCTCCCATCCTTTTGTTTTATATAAGTACAACACAGTTCACACCTGAATACAAGGATTGAAAGACTACATTTAATGAAGATGCACAGAAATATCATAATAGAGCTCATTAACAGATTACTTTTGGTAATATCCAAATAATGAATACAAACAAGTACATGCGACAGCGTCAAAGATAGACCTAACACCAAGGGGTAGAAAATGTTTACAAAATCAAAGTTTCATTTCAAAATGTAAGAATAAACCCCTGTAAGCTGTCTCATTGTAAAATTGTAAGAAATAAACAAAATATATTATTTATTCATTATATACTGGCAGCAATAAAAATGGAGCAGAACATTGGCTGCAGGACCGCAGTAGGAGACAAATCTGTTAATACTGCTACAACAGAGGAAAAGGGCTCGTTTAAACAAGTCCAAGAGGTGATGGATCATCGAAGGGTTTCTAGTTTCCAGTCAGCTTCTGTATTCAGGCACAAAAACACAGTCCAGTCTGCTCTGTGGCCGGGTTGGGGTCCACGCTGGTCAAACCAGGAGACAGTTCAGTGGGAGTTGTAGGGGAATTAAGGATTTGATTACAGTCGAAGCTATCAAAGTAGTCCAATGAAAGGCCTCTCATTGCTTTGGTGGTCCAATCAGGGTGAGTCCTGAGCTGGAGGATGACGTCAACAGGTGTCTTTTGAAGGATGAGAGAGTCAAACGAAGCACCGCGAAAGAAGGGCTGCATCTTGAAACTCTCCAGGTTACGAAGCCGGTTTGCTGGATTCTTGCACAAAAGCTGCAGCAATAAAGAGAAACTGAAACAGATGAATACGACAATTCAGAGGATTCAGTGTATACAGTAGAGAGAAGAGAATGATAAGTACAAACCTCCGTGAGCAGTAAGAGCAGAGCAGAGCTGAAGGTCTCAGGTAGGACATAAGGAAAAACTTTGACCTTGTGAAACATGGTACTGTGGTCTGGCTCTGCAGGTACTGGAAACTAAAAGCGAAAGGAAAATAATATATAATAAATATTACATTTATGTGCCCTCACCTATGGCAATTTCAGATGCACTCCTTCTACCTCATTAGAAATGTCAGAATCTATAAATATGCACATTTTTGTTGTTTCTGAAATTTTCCTGCTGGACACAAGATGTCTCCTATAGTCCATTGTACCATCACACTGGTATAAGTTGCATACTGGACCAGGATTGACTTCCAAATTATTTGTTATGTCACAAATAAAGCTCCCTTAAAAATCAGATTTTTGCAGTGAGCACAGAGAAACTTTCCACTTTCACCACTGTCAAACTCTGCACATACATTCTTCTGCACAGAGAAACTCAAACATCCAACTGTAGGAACAAGTTTTTGAGTGGAGGGGGATTTCAAAGGTAAAACTCCTCGCCATACTCACCTCTCCTGTCACCAGTGAGAACAACATAATGCCAAGGGACCACCAGTCAGCAGCGTGGTTGTATGGACCCCCACTTAAAACTTCAGGTGCTGTTCAGACAAAAACCGGTAAAAAAAAAAAACTCAAGACGATAATGTGGATCAACATAACTCGGAGAATAAAAAGAGGGAATCACAAAGACAAAAAAAAAACAACATACGGAAATGTTCTGAGAAGCCTTGCTGAGAGAACCAAAAGCAATAATATGTAAAGTACAGGTGCATCATGTACATAACTGGGTCAACTGAATCCAATGGGAGCAAAACGCAGGTGGGGCTCTGATGTTGCTCTAATGCAGCGAACCAATATGTTGACGCACAGACACACACACACACACACACACACACACACAGGACACTTCCATTAAAGTGAGAATTTTCTCTCCAGAACGACATTTCATTGAAGAGAAAATGACACCAAAATCTCACCCATGTACTGGATCGTCCCACATATTGTGAACGCTCTTCCTCCTCGTTTCAGCCGCCGCGAGAGTCCGAAATCAGACAAACGGAGGTGACCTGAATCAAAACACAACCTGAAACTGATGGACTTTTACACACTAATAACAGAATAAACATGTAGAATGTTTTTTATGTATTGTATTTATTGGTCCTGTTTTTAGATGCATGGCTTGTGGTCAGCATCTTTCCTATTGACGGATCAATTGTGTATGCATTGGTTTTTGTGAAAGTTAGCGTGCTGTCTCTACAGTAACCTGTAATCCATTACAGTTATATTTAGTTAAAAAGGGAATTATTATCAGGATTAGGACGATATACTGCCATGCACATTGATTTGTCGTCATAGACTACACGTCATGTTATTGATATTTAAATATTTGCAATTGTATCAGATTACATTTTTAAAGTATGTACCCTCCCAACCCTGTTCACTGACACTGCATACGTTGAATAGTTGTTACATAATTGAATTGAATCAAATGTCCGTAAATGTCTTTATAGGCCAGAAGACAAACGTTACCTTGATCACTTAAAAGAACGTTCTCCATCTGAAAACATTTTTAAATTATTGTCATAAAAAGTCAGAAATACACATATTTAAATATGTTATATAAAGATTGGTAAATTACATTTAAAAAATATATACCTTTATATCTCTATGCATGATCCCTAAGTCATGTAGGAATCCTAGAAATAATTAAGACAGAAAGTGAGAATATGATAAGATATAATATCTGGACACACATCCACAAACTTGTATATCATTGAATCTTTCTAGATAGAGGTTCTTTTTGTCCAGTGTAGATGACATAAATAAACGATAAAAAGGAGGTCCGTGTTCAAAATCCCTTTTTAACACACTGTAAAACTCAACCATGACATCTGTGTTGATGCTAGAGCTCAAATTGATGAACTCTTAATGGTGAAAGTCTGATGAACACTAACCCAGTGCGCTGCCCAGCTCTGCTGCAAACAGCTGAACCTCATCCTCCCCAAACTGGCCCTTCAGTAACCAGTAAGTGTACAAGTCTCCAACACTGCAGTAGTCACACACTGCGGAGGAGACACACACACATATACTTCTTATATCTTTGAAAGCAGATACTGAGTTAACGCAGGGCAGCAAGTTCTGAAATAAAAAGTCAGAAATAAGGAAACCACAAAGAAGAGAAAAACAAATATATTTGGTAATAGTGTTGCTGGGGAAAGAAAGAAGGATGGAATAAGGTTGAATCAGGTCACAAACAAATGCTTCTGTCATGTTATTCTCCTGTGAGCTGTTTTAATACTAATCTCACCACTTAAGACGCTCATTTGTACTGTTCTTAGAACTGAATACACATAAATGTATCATCACGGTTGATCAAATCTGTAAGCAGGCAGTACAGCCACCACACTGAGCTTTACCCAACGCTCTCATTAGATGGCAGTGTACCTCTTCAGTATCCAGTACTGAGATTTGTGAGGATGCAGCAGTCAGTCAGCCTGCATGTTCACAAACAGTCTACTTTATGTCACTATGAGACTACAAGAGGAAAAAAGCTCCTCAGAAACATAAAGAAGGGAAGAATAGTAGAAGGGAAGAGGGTCGAACTGTGCATCGTTTGTATACTTATTGACTCACTAATGAAGAGATGGCGCTGTGTCTGCCAGCAGTCCTGCAGATTGTGGATAAATGGGTGTTTGAGCTGCCGCTGCAATGCAACAGTCCCCCCCCCCCCCCCCCCCCACACACACACACACACACACACACACACACACACACACACACACAGTGAGAGTGAATATAACAGTGAGGGATGAACAGGAGACTTCCTTTAGATCAGATGATGCCTTTTAAAAGAGTGAGGTTTGTGAGTTTAACAAAAACTATGTCCTATATTCAAATCTTAAAGTACTCATGGTTGGTAATTTGACTGTAGCCATTAAACCACTGAATCACTCAGACACAGGGACTGGATCTACAAATTCAGAGTTCTTTTTATCAATCTCCTGATTATTTTCTTTCATTATTAATTTAGTCCAGTGGTTCCCAACCTTTTTCCTGAATAGACCCCTTTTCTATCATTGTGTAAACTAAGTGACATATTTTATGGATATTTCAGTACATAATAACAACAGTACAGAACAAAAGATGAACTGTACAATTAACCCAAATAATGAACACAATAACTGTGGGAAGTTTGTGTCAAACTTAGCAGAAATGTAGCCTTTTTGCTTGAAAAATTATCAATTGATTATCACAATAGTTCTTTTGATTGACTAATTAATGGTTGCTGATAAGAGCAGTAAAGTAACAATACTTTGACATACTACCTTTTACCAAAACTGATGATACCTGAATGATGACTTCTTCTTTCGACTGCTCCACCACTCCGTGCTTCAAGATCTCTGACTTTGGTAGAACCTATATGCAGCAGTAAAAATAATTACACAAAAACATGTTTTATGTTCTTATATAATGCTGTTACAGTGCTGATTATTACTGACCTTAACAGCAAAGGTCTTGTCTTTGAAAATGTCCTTCACTTTCAAGATGGGTCCATATGAACCTTTGGCTATGAAGCCCAGGATCTGCAAAGTACAGTTATCTCAATGTTTACACCACTTTTCTCTCTAATTCTGTTCTAAACGTCTTGTGTTGTGGTGGGTGGAGTACCTGGAAGTGGTCTTGTCCATGTCCTTGTCCTTGTCGCTGTGGGAACTCAGGCAGAAAGACAGAGACGAAAGCCGGAGGAGTCCTCTCTGTGCCGGACGTCTCAGCGCTGTCCTCTGGAGGCAGCAGGAGTTTGGGGGCCGGTGGTCTGCCGTCCGGTCCCGCAGGCTGAGAAAATACAGCTGAGTGTCCGAGCCTGTGGGTGATGGAGACCCCCATATTTGAGAGGAACCCATGACTGAATCGACGCTGAGCAGCTGGTCCCTCTCTCTAGATAATAAAAGATAATGATGCTTTATGAACAGGGGTGGAATGTAACGGTGAACTTACCTGAATACTGTACATAGTTATATATATATACACTTTATTCAATCCACTGCATCTATTTCACAGCTGAAGTTACTTTGCAGATTGATTTCACAAGAAAATATTTAACAGTCTAGTAAAATATGATACATTGGTAAACTACCTTGATTAAACTACCTAAAAGTCTAGTAGTTAATGTGCTGCTTAAATGTTGGTCAACCATATTGGTCAACAATCTGAAAAGCGCCATTCTGCTGCATTATGTGTATTTTTTGCCAATAAAAGTTTTAATTGGTAAAGCTTTTCAGTGCTTTTCAGTTTCTTTACATAGCTATTAGTTTTATTTATGTGAAAGATCTGAGCTACGTTACTTCTTTCACTACTGCTTATAATAAGGATTATTTCATAAGATACTGTACATCCATGCTGCCTCGGCATATCCCGTTTTTAATCACCAATTTACTCCCTAATAATTATTTTTAATTTATAAAAGACCTAATAACAGAATTTAACTAAAAATTAAAGAACAAATTGATGAAATGTCTGCGAGCAAGACACATTTTGTAATGTTTATTATATCTGAGGCTGACTCAATGAGCTGCATGCTGCACACAATCAAACCGAGCATCTATTGACCCTTCCTGGGAAGGTCACCGATCACTTAACATCTAATCAATAGCTCTATTTTTGACAAGACTTCACTTTGATGCCGTAGACAGCCCAACCTCATACATCTTGTATCATAGATTTTTTTTTACACATTATTAAAAACTAAGATTCGCCACAACGTGAATTTATTTAGAAGCCACGACCTATTTAAAAAAAATCTTAATTTTAAACTTTAAATATATTACCATAAATGATGTAGAAAAACGCAAAATCCAATGAATATTCTTGTACACATCTTTGCATGCAGCTCAACATCATATAAACATGTAAATAACTCCAATCTGACCGGATCTGATTCACTCACCTTACTGTTTCTACTGATGTCGCTGCCCATAAAGAAACCAGAAGGATTTCACACAAAAAGGAGCAAAAACGCGACAGATGCAGCTTTTCTCCTCGCAGTCCGGTCTCGGCCATCACATCGTCTCGGGTCCACGTGCTTGTGTGTGTGTGTGTGTGTGTGTGTGTGTGTGCGTGAGGAAGAGGAGGAGAGAGAAATGTTTGCAGACAGTCATCCAGAGCGGGAAGAGCTCGATTCCGCTCCAGTTAAAGCTGTCAGATTAATGATCAATCATCCCCTCTGTTCCTCACAGACCTGCCCCCCCCATTTTTTTTTTGGTTTTTATTCTGCAAAAAAAAAATAAAAAACACAAACACACCACTGAGAGACTATAACACTTTTATTGACAGATAAACAATAAGCCACAGAGCTGATAGAAATGTGAATACATGTGCTGTTGCGATATGATCTGTTTGAATTGAAATGTTCAGGGTGTTTCTTCTTTTTCTTCTGCTGAACAGAAATGTGACTGAAATAAAAAGGCGTAGCAGCACAGTTATACAAGTAACTCAACAGAAAACAACCGCGGTTACAAAAATATCAAAATACTTTGCATAAAAAAGTGCTTTAGTAATAAAACTACAAAACATACACTCAGCGATTAGCTGCAACATATTTGTTGTTTTTTTTTATGCCACAATACCATCAAACCAAGAGCCACATTATACAACACATTAAATCTTTTTGCTGCTCTGTTCTTGATATATTGCACAGGGGTGAGTTACAGCGAGCTGAGGGATGCAGACAGTCATTTCCAGGTAAAATATAAAATATCTTTTGTGGTTACTTGTGGGGAAAAAGGCCTTCCTGTCAGTGACAGTCATACAGCCACATACAAGCTCTGATTGATAAAACATATATGATATATTTATTTATGACATTTTAAAATCTAAATCTTTACAGCTGGCAGCATTGAAGGTGCTTTCAGTTGAGTCCTATTTATTCTAGCAGACAGATCTGACATACAGTGTTCCTGAGCCAGCAGGAAAAGGTGCTCTCAGTCTCAGTCATGCATTTATGGAAGCAGAGGAAAGAGTAACAGTGAGTGCTGGCTACATACTGTAAATCTTCCTCCTGCTACATACAATGCAACGTAAGTGGTCATTGTTTTGAAAGTTGCAGAGTGTATTAAATGCAGAGTGAAATTTTTTAATGGCACACACACAAAAAACAACAGGATAATATATATATTATATATATATATATATATTATTTGGTCAAAATGGCACCCTGGTAATCTGGAGCTGTTCGAGTTCCCTGCAGGGATTTTGGCCATAAACTCAAATCTAAGACACATTAGGAGTATTTTTTTCAAAAACAAAAACTCAAGGATTTTACTTTTAAGTTCAGCAGGTTCATATGATACAGTACGGTATCCCCCCCACCCAAATAAAAACTATTTGAAATGCTCAACCATCTCCCTTTCACAAATTCACAAAGCCAGACTGACATCCTGACCCCTAAGAGGCAGTCTTGCTTTTTCCCTGATCTCCACACTGAGGGAGTGTGGCAGCTGCTGTAGTGGATCATCCAGTCGAGCTCTGACGTGGTGTGTGAGTGTGTGAGTGTGCAAGTGTGTGAGTGCGTAAGTGTGTGAGTGTTTGTTTGCGTCACTTGCGCCGGCTGAAGATGCTCTTCTTGCTGGAGCTCTTGTCTGCGGTGCTGAGGCCGATGAGGAGCCGCGCCTTCTCATCTTCCTCCTGCTGCTGCAGACTGTTGTCAGACTTCCCTTCAGACGCTTTCCCTCGCAGGTCCGAGCCTGAAGCTGGTTTCAGACGCAGCTTCTCCTTTATCATCTAAGCAGCGGAGAGCAAAGACAACGAGTTCAGAATTAAATAACTTTTAAATGTATGTTGTTTCTGCTCCTACTCTTCCTTATAATGGTAATACATGAAAACAACTGTAAACACACTGTGCAATGACGGATACATTAAAGAATTGTAACAATAAATAGATTTTAAGCACATTTTGGTAACGTAATCTTAATTAAACAGCTGTCATACCACAGCCTATATGGGTTTCAAGTCATAAATGTTGTGTACCTGTGCTACAAGTGCTTTCCGGCTGTCCCTTTTCACAGCCATGGCAAAGTCGAGCCACGTCCAGGTGTTGTTATGGTACTCCAAACAGGGCAGAACCAGGTTCAGGTCCTTCCAGTCTACACTACTCTTTTCTCCCTAAAGATGGGGGGAATTTTATAGAGTCAAACATCAGTTCAACATTTAAAACATCAGACTGGAAATGAAAAAAGTGCCGTATTTTGTTAAAGGGGAATTAAACCTGAAGTTGATATTAAAAACTTGTTAGCAAACAGTTGCTTATTTTCAAATGGAGTTGCGTTTCAGGCCAACTTATGAATTTAAGCCCAACATTATCTCTTTTTCAGCTCTGTTTTTGGTCTCCACCAACTCTTAAGAGAAATATCTGTCTCTTTAGTTGCTAAATGCTCCACTGTGTTCACCAGCTCGTCACTAACTGTGTCTGTCTGCTGTTTGGTGCTGAGCAGGTAGGGTACAGTGAGTTTTTAGAGGTTTCTTGCTGAAAACAGCTGCCTGCTGAGGCCAAAAAGAACAATGAGAGTGAACCAAAACAGTGAAGCTGTGGGACATAAAATCAAAACAAAAACAGCTGAAAGATGCTAAAAACAACATAATTACATTATTTTTATCTTATATATTTTTTTTATTTTTAATATTTTTACAATTTGATTTTACTCTTGATGTGACTCTTATTCTTTATTGCAGCATAAATAAACAAAGTACTAAGAAACCATGCAGGTGATGTTTTTCACAGTTAGAGATAGTTCTGTATGAATGACCTGAGCTGTTTCTAGGTCAAGATAATACAGAATGATCCTCTTCAGTCATATTTCTGTTCTTTCTATTAAACCTCATCATTCGTAGTAAAGAACAGGGATTGAATCAAACAGTCAATGTAGATCTGAGAAACAGCCGTAATGCTCAGAAAGCCCACCTTATAGCTGACACAGAGGGGCACTTGGGGAATCTTGATGTAGATGAAGGAGTTGTTCATAGCAGCTCGCTCCTTCATCTTATCAATGTCATCAACAGGATGCTGGAGGCAGGAAATTATAAAAAAAAGGAATTACATTTGTTTATTTTGTCTTTGTTCTTGAGATCTGGGTAAAATCAATCAAAAAGCAGCAATACCTCTGGAGGTTTCCTGAACGACCTCCTGACCCCCGCAGTGCGGTTCAGTCCCTGGGTGACACCTTTGCTGGGGCCCATAGCACCCATGGTGTCCTCGGACGACTGCCGAGGCTTGACAGGGATACCTGTGACACAGAGCACATCAGCATCAGCACTGTGGCCTCTGTTTGACCCCACACCTTATACTCCCACTGAGTCTCTCGCTCTCTCTCTCACCCTGTACTCCCAACTGAGCCTCTCTCTCTCTCTCTCTCTGACACTCACTCTAACACGCATATCTCAAGGTCATATAAGTGATAGCCTTTTAATAGCTCAAAGAGATGATGTAACACATTAATGGGCTATTCAATACCACACACACACACACACACACACACAC